TGCACACGGCCGCCTGTTTCCGTCTCCCCCCGCGTCGGTGGTAACGCCGATCTCCGGGTCCAGAAGGCTGTCGTGCAAATGTAACGCCTGTGCTCTCCGAGGCTCTGAGCGTCCGGACGATAAAGCAGAAAAGACAGTCGTCTTGCACCGCACCGCCTCCTAGCGGCCGCAGCGGGGGACTGACCACAGCCGACAGTGACCAAGCGGGTTTCGTGGTTAAACGCGCTGTCCGAAAAATGCCAATGTCATCCCCTCTCACTTCTTTAACAGAGTTTTTAAAATAGGGACATGATAATAAAACTCCAAAAGCTGCAATAGGTCTCTCCTTAGTCTTGTCTTTAGTACGTTAACATTCCAGATCAGAAACACCGCTGGCAGAAACTTCTTTGCCTCCTCTCTCTCTCTCTGTGTTTCAGTATGACTACGGCCGATAACAAGTCCAACAAACGTCACTGGCTTCCGTGAATGAGTAGTGGAAAGTGAAAAGTGAAAAGTGAATGGAAGTGAAAGGGTTTTTTTTTGTAAGATGGTAAAAGGAACGTAAAGAGAGACGAGTTTAAAAACAACAACAACAACAACAACAACAACGAGACACTTGCTTAAAAACCTACTAACAGGTTTTAATCTAATTTCCTATTCGTTTTAAACAGCCAGCCTCAATCTTCTCGGCTTCATTTAATTTAATTTAGCACAAAAAAAAAAACAACCGAACTGAAATCGCTCCGCATCTGGTTCATCTGGTGGTTATGTGCTGTAATGTAAACTGGTATCAGCTCGACAACTTTCGAAGATTAAGAACCGCGACTGTTGTTAACTTTTGAGGGCGACGATTCCTACGCGATAGTGTTGATAGAGCAGCATCACTCGACTAATTATAATAATTCGCTTTCCTCTGCGTCCTGCTTCTCCTACGCGCCAGGCGGTGGTTTTCTCCCTGGTAGAGAATTCCCCGTCCAGAGACACGGTGTGAGGACCAGGTTTCTTGTTTTTTCTTGTAGGATTCCTCAGAATACGAAGGTGCAGATCTTAATTATTTATTTACGGGTAATGGGGACCCCTCGCATTACCCGTAAATTAGGCTCCATCTACCTCAGCTCTCAGCGGGGAGGAGAGTAATGA